CATATCACAATACACATAATGCAATTATCTTGAAGCTTGGTACACATTATATCACAATACACATAATGCAAATTATCTTGAAGCTTGGTACACATATCAAAATGCTCATGATGCAATTTTTGTAATCTCATCAAATTAATAATAATACCTAATTACTTACTACATATTGATCAGATACAAACATACAGACCTTTTAGTTTTCAAAGCATTATATTTATTACCTTAACATTAATGTCTTCCACATGTACACATTTTAAATTTGGCTGTACATTGGTTGGTCAAAAATAACAAATCCAAATCGCATACCTCACTAATATACCTTTGAATGGAATCGTGATCTGGCAACAAAATGCTTCTACCCAGGTGGCAAAACAGACATGCTTCTTCATTTTCTAATAGACAACATAGTCTTATTTTGTGTTTATAGACACTCATACATACTCCATACATATAATATATCTTGATAGACAAAAAAATTTCTGTCATTTTAGAACCAGATGACAGAACATCATGGAAACTTCATCTGTATAAAATAATTTTCAAAATGTACTTCTTTTGACATACCTAACCCTAGAATGAATATGCAGCTGTCGACTTTGTTGCGCGGAGCTTATCATATGAGTGATTGTTCGTCGGCGTCTGTCGCCCACGTCAACTTTTTAGTTTTTCGACTTCTTCTTGGAAACTACACGTCTGAATGCTTTGATACTTGGTGTATATGAACCTCTCTTAGATTTGTTCATTTCATGATGATATCTTCAATTCTCTAATTTTGGTGAATATTTTTGTCATTTTTGGTGAAAAGTTTTTTTTTTGACTTCTTGTTAAAAATTACAAGTCCGATTGCTTTGATATTAAATATATAGGTACTACATGTGGATCTCTCTCAGATTTGTTCATTTTGTAATGATATCTTCAATTCTCTAATTTTGGTGAATATTTTTGTCATTTTTGGTAAAAAGTGATATTTTCGACTTCTTGTTAAAAACCGCAAGTACGATTGCTTTTATATTACATATATAGGTACTACATGTGGATCGCTCTCAGATTTGTTCATTTGATGATGATATCTTCGATTCTCTAAATTTAGTGAATATTTGTCATTTTTGGTAAAAAGTGATATTTTCGACTTCTTGTTAAAAACCGCAAGTGCGATTGCTTTGATATTACATATATATGTACTACATGTATACCTCTCCCAGATTTGTTCATTTGATGATGATATCTTCAATTCTCTAATTTTGGTGAATATTTTTGTCATTTTTGGTAAAAAGTGATATTTTCGACTTCTTGTTGAGTCCGATTGGTCTGATATTACATATATATGTACTACATGTATACCTCTCCCAGATTTGTTCATTTGATGATGATATCTTCAATTCTCTAATTTTGGTGAATATTTTTGTCATTTTTGGTAAAAAGTGATATTTTCCACTTCTTGTTGAGTCTGATTGCTTTGATACTATACATTTACATTGTTCATTTTCTAATGATATCTTCAGTTCTTTAATTGTAATGTGCACTGTGGAGCCAACAGGCTACTTGTTACCATTGTTTCACTTTTTCACAGAATCTATCCCGATGTCTTGGATTTGTGCTGAAGCTTCACCAAGCAGCCATGATAACCAATATTTGTTGCCATGTGAACCACATTATAACACTGTACCATGCAGACCTGCACCATTACCAGGTAAAATCACCAGGGCTCAAAGTTTACGATTAAGAATGAGAATGAGAAGAATGGCAGGTAAGATTATCAATAGGATCTCTCTTTTGAAAATTCATATTAAACACATATTTATATGATTTTCCTGAAATTTCTATTTTTTTATTTATTTAGAGAGAGCCGTCAATCACCCCAGTGAGGAGGAACATTATCAAATCCCAAGACAATTTAGTATCCAACGGACAACATCAAATGAAACAGGTATTTAACATAGGTCACATCCCTTTTGATCACTTCTGATTTTTTATTTTTTTCAACAATAGCAAATGGTAGATAAATTCACTACGTTCAATTACCCACCATAGACTCCGGTCAGTCAAAATGACTATTTTGAACTGTAGGCATTAATCAGTGATTCTGCCAATGACGAAGAGATCAAATTTAGGTCAGTGGAAGCCCCATGACCCCAAGATTTTTTCCCTTACGTCACAAACCGCGTGACCGAGGTAATGTGGCGATGCCACCTTACCTTGACCTTCACTCTTACTTTATCTCCACACCAACATGGATGAAGTCTAGCGGCTCTGCTAGGAAGGCCTGCTTTTTCCTGTCTGGGTTTCTGGCTTGGGTTGCCACGGTAGCCGACACTGTAGCTGGTAGGATAAGTTTATTATTTTTACCTCTCTGTTGATTTCCCCTTTGTGTGTATAATTTTTCACAACAAAGAAAATAAAACACGCAATTTAACCGTCACCTTTTCCAACTGTATTTTGCTTCCCTCATGCATGTCATGTTCATTTTTATTTTTTAGCTATGTATTTAGAAATGGATAGATGTAATGACCAGTGGCTCGCCACCAGTTTTGTCTCCTCAGGTTTTGAGGTGACTGTGCAGTGGTTGTAGTCAGAATTTACCAGCATGGAACCCACATTCAATATGCTATTTATGTCTTGACTGCATGTGGGGTTCGGGTTTTTGCCTTGAAGGCGTGTGTAATCACTGGAGTTCTTAGGCCTGGGATGCTTTCCAGCGCCACGTGAAAATCGCCGAGACTGACCACGTCACTCATTTTCACAGCAAAGGTTGCACGTCCAGTATAGTCGGTCAAAGTGAGTTGTGTGTTGGCATGAGTGGAAAGTCCTCACGCTTGGCGGTACTTCGTGTACTGAGACGTTGAGTAGGAGGCCCGGCGAGGCTGTGCCCCTGGAGGTCTTTCCTCCTATGGGGCCCGTTGCAGGTCCCTTTGTGGATCCGTCCTCGCACGGCACCAGGTTTGCCTCTGAGATGCAGGCTTTGGTCGAAAGACTGTCGGGGCAAATTGCGTTCCTGACAGGCCGGATAGATCAGATGCAGTCAGAGCGAGCTGTCTCCACTGCGGCCCCTCGGTCAGCAAACAGGAAGAAACACAAAAAGCATCGCATTCAAAACATGTCTCTTCCGGAGAACCCCCCTTCCCAGCCACGACTCTCTTGCTGATTTGGGTGAGGCCGAGGCTCAGGCTAGTTGCACCGGGTCTCCTCTGGGACCTTGGGCACTGAATGCCAATGGGGATGCTGGCAGCCAAGCCTCCGATTTTGGGGTAGGACTTTCGGGTCAGGACACACGTTGTGCCTCCCCCTACTTTCAGCCAGCCAAGGTTCGTTGTGCGGTACCGGACTCGGAAATTTACCCTTGAGTCCGGGCTCCGTTGTGGGATTTGACTCCCTTCTTGCCGGCCCACGAGCATTCCCAGAAGGAACTGACTCTGTCATGAGATGCACAGTCAAACACGCTCTTGCTCACATATTTTAGTTGAAAGGAGGCAGTTCTTCTTTGTCTGATACAGTGGGTACCTCGGGCAGTCCTTCAGAGTCTTCCATTCGTAACAACTCGGTGAGCCACGCCGTTGGGGTGATGCGGAGTATTATCGATCACAAATTTCTGTTTTGCAAACCGGGTAAAGGGGGATGGCTGCGTTCCATGGGCGTTCTCGCCAGCTCAGTCTGAGACGATCCATCACACCCTGAGGGCAGAGTTGCAACCAATTAACTTCCTTGAGTATGTGGCCGGCACACTGGAGCGCATTATTGTGTGCGCCCAGGACTCTTGAGACCTCGGAGGCAGAACACACCAGCCTTCTAGACCAGGCGACACAATTACTGGTGGGCCACCGCACAGCTACGTGCGACATCCTCCAGTGTCACCTTACTCTCCTGGCCGGGGCTACTACCGTGTAACAAGACACGGTCTTAGGCGCATGTGTTTTCACTGGCAAAGTCAGGGAGTACGTCACTGCCTCTGTTACGCCGACTGGACATCTTCCACCTTCTTTGATGGGGAGAAGCTCCGAGTGTAGTCTCGGAGCTTCGGAGGGCAATGAACCAGATGGACTCTCCAGGTGGTGACACTTGATTACAGGATACCACTGACATCTCCACCTCCCCGGCACTAAGTCCAGGCTTCTACTCAAATGTGTTCGTAGTACCAAAATCTACAGGCGAGTGATTAAACAGATAGTGCTGCTGCTTCACCAAATTTCGGTACACATCAATCCGTACCTTGATGACTGATTATTACACAATCCAAGAAAGGGGTTATTAGCAAGTAAGGCTAACGCAGGATCACCAGTTGGGCTTTTTATTAAATCAGACAAAGTCCCATCCCTATCCAACGAAACAGTTGGTGTTTCTGGGCATGGAGTTCGACACGAAGGTAGGTTCGGTATGTCCATCTCAGGCACGTTGCCTGGCGCTGAGAAGCCTAGCTGAACGACTAGTCAGCGTTCCCTCAGTGTTCCTTCGAGAACTAATACGGATCATCAGAATGATGACCTCTGTTCAAAGGGTTGTTCCACAGGCTGCATTACGCAGTCGCCCGGTACAACCCTGCCATAGTTAGAGATCACAGAGTCCTGCTCCGCACAAACAACACAGCAGTGATCTCCTACATCAACAAGGAGGGGGGACGCGTTCCCTATTGTTGTCAATCCTTGCAGAGCAAGTTCTCCTTAGGTGCCTGGAATAAAATGTGGAGCTAACCGCACACCACCTTCTGGCAGACGCCCTTTCGAGGCGGAGTGGCAGATACCCCAGTGGGTAGCCTCCAGGCTGTTTCAGTGTAGGATGGTCAAAAGATAGACCTGTTTGCCGCACCCAGGAATGCCAAGCTCCCAACATACGTAACACTCCTGCCGACACCAGGGGCCTCGGCCATGGACGTCTTGTCGATCCCATGGACCTACATGGATGCGTACGCCTTTCCTCCCGCTAATTCACCGGGTACTGGAGAAACTTTGACGGGAGCCCAACTGCATATTGACTCTGGTGGTGCCCAATTGGCCAAACAAAGCCTGGTTTCCACTTCTGTTGGACCTGCTGTCCGAACTGGACGATGCACAAGCCCAGGGGTGTACCACTTACATGCATGGAAGCTCTCAGTATACTCGCACACACGAAAGGTTTATCTTAGCAGGCTGCCAGATAACAGGGATTCCACCAACGCTGCCTACAACTCGAAGTGGCGAGCATACACTGATTTGGTGTAGTGGAAGGGAGATTGATCCATGCCATCCCTCTATTGGCCAGGTAGCAGACTTCTTCGTCCACTTGTTTGACGAAGTAGGTTTGTCCTACGCAGCGATCGTTGGCTACAGGTTGGCTTTGTTCCCCGCCATTGAGAATGCTTTGGGGTCAAGTCTAGCCGATTGTCCTATTATTAGGAGACTGTTTACTGCTTTCAATAATCCAGCCTCCCCGGTGGATTACTGCGACTGTATTAGAGGTCTATAATACTTTAACTTCCTCAACACAGAACTTGCAGAGACACCAAGTATGAGCGCATGAGGTCCGTGCGATTGCTAACTCACTAGCGCTAGCGTGAGGCGCCCTCTTGAACATATACTAAGGGCAGGCTTATGGAGAACGCAAAACGTCTTTATCAACTACTACCTAACAGACACCCAATCCATTGAGGAGGGTCTCTTTTAGGTTGGGTCCCGTCGTAGCAGGTCAGACTCTGGTTGCTGACCCAGACCGAACGACCCCAAGGTCCCTGTGCATAGGCGATAAGTCGGTCTCAGCATTTTTGCGGACAGATTTCTCTACCGTCAGCACTCCTTGGAAGTTTCCAGGTCTCGCTTTTTGGCCTATGTCCTCATGCATGCATGCATGTTTCAGTCTTTACTTCGAAAGCATACTACACCCTGAATACTACCCCATTACCTCGGTCACATGGTTCGTGACGTAAGGGGAAAAAATCTTGAGGTCATGGGGCTTCCTCTGACCTAGATTTTATCTCTCCGTCATTGGCAGAATCGCTGATTAATGCCTACAGTTCAAAATAGTCATTTTGACTGCCCAGAGTCTATGGTGGGTAAGAACTATGTGAATAGGCGGGTTCAGAGAACCCTCTGCCTAATTATGTGATTTAATTGGTAATTACATATATTAGTCCAAACAAATAGAATATTTCAAGGTCAATTTGTCATATCATTGTTCCATTGGGTTTTTATTGAATGTAAACTATGATAACATTAATGACAATCAGATGGAGTGATTAAATTCACTTCTTGCAAAATATATATGGGATGAAGAATCAAAATATAAATACAATTATATATTAACAGCAAAATATAATGACAAATTTCATAACTTCATAAATAGTAATTTTAACAGCATAAATGTAAATGAAGCAACAGAAAATTGGCTTCAAGTAGCTCTACTTACCTTACTTCCCAGTGTATAAGCCCAGGGGCCTGAACATGTAAAATCGGTAAAATTAGGGGGTGGGCTTATACTCGAGGACCACCTCAGAAAGAATCATTTTTCTCGGTGGGATTTAAAATTGTAATCGAAAAATTATCTAAATTACATTTTTCGTTCACAGCGCCGGTCTCGGAGAAATATTACGTCTTTTTGATTTTCACAACACTTTTTACAATGAAGAAACAAATATGTTCATAAAAATACACACAATTTATTACAATACGATTTACATACCGTCTGAATTTACGGTGCAAAAATGGGTAGGGTCTGTGGGAAAACTGTCGAAGGCAAGATCTTTATCATTATCTTTGTTGTAGAATGTTTTTGATCGTACGCAAACTTTCGATACAAAGCAATTTCCGCCATGGTGTCTTCATCATGATTTGACCTGAACAACTTCCTTTGACCTAACAGGTCACGTCAATCAAAATGCTGTGTCGTACAGACGAAGTTTTCCAATTATTGACAAAGTAATTTTTTCAACACAATGCGGAAGTGAATTACAGCGATGTTAAAATGCGATCTGATTTCGACAAAAAATGGTGATTTTTTTCCCACAAGCTGTTGATTCGCAATTTTAGAAAGGTAAACTGAGGGTAGAGGAAGTATTTTAACTTTTCACGGTCGTGTCGAAGAATATTTTGCTCGTTTACATCCCATTCACGAAGGTCTCAATGGACACCATTATTTGGAAAAGTAAAACGATGTTCAATGACCAGGTTTCACGACTTGACGATCACATTTTTGTCGTTTCTAAAACTACTCCTCAAAAAAAATATGGATTACTTCAGTATTGCAACATCTGGATTCATCATGAGTAAATAACAGAATAGAAAAGGTGTGAACCATGTTCCGTACGTTCGCCCTGTAAAAACACCCTGAGCCTATACTCGGGGATGCCCTCAACTTGTTAAATGTTTAAAACAGAGGGGTGGGCTTATACTCGGGGAGGGGCTTATACTCGGGAAAAAGTACGGTAAAAGGTAACTTGTAAAAACAAACTTGGTATGGATGTAACACAGGCATATCAGTTTGTTTTATTATTTAATTCAAAATGTTCAATCGGTGGCCATGTTTGTTTTATTTTCATTTCTTGAACATGCTTTCACAAATTTTGTTAAATGTAATTACAAAGACATTTTCTAATTTATGCATACAAGCACATGTATGTACTCAAATTTCATACACACATTGTGTTTACTTAGTGGGTAGCACATTATCAGGTTGAATACTTTCTAAAAATTTCATTATATTCATGTAAATTATATAATCATTGTTTAAAATTCACACAGTTACTAAAAACTAGACAAAGACTACCGATATATCCTTGACAACAACTTGCAAGGGATGATTTTGTTCAAATTTGTTTATACATAGATAATTCAAATTCATATTTTACTGAACTATTAATTTTTAGGAACTTTTATGCAATTCAAGTTATATTATTCTATGAGGAACATTGAAATTATTACAGTACATGTAAGATTATTTGAGGAACATGAATTAATTATTTTTTGTTATATAATTATTGTTACCTTTTTAAGTTTTTTAGTTTAAGCGAGATTTTGCCTTAAAAATTGAGAACATGAGAAATATTCAAACAACAATGGTTTAGATTGCAGCTACGATTGTAAAGCTACTGAAACGTCCAACAATAATTTAATATTCTATATAATAAGCCTAGTTTAAAGTTGCATACTAGAAACTGTGTTTATATATTACTGTTATAGGTATCATTGATGCTGGACAGATTAACCCCAAGCCACCAGGTGATGCACCAAGACGTCCTTACAAGTCTTCACAGTCCAGGGATCTACAGAGAGAGTGCATACAAATGATGAAAAAGTATGCACCACTGCCATCACCACCTGAGATTCAAGACACTGATAATCCATGTAGTGTACCTGCACACTCCAGGGAATTTGCAAGGAGTGTTTATCAAAACTACCAACCTCATTATGAGAATTTACCCTTTCAGAATGAATGGATGAACTACAATCAGCCAATCAACCAATCACAAATCAGTAATGAACAACCACATATAATCAGCTGTGTTGCCCATGATAAAACATTCATACGACGCCATTCATATGATGGTGCAAGTTTAGCACATACAGGCTACCATAAAGGGCATTTATATTACGATATGGAAATGTCATCAGCTACACCTAAAGTTTTCAACAGAAGTTATAGTTACGATGCAGTGACATCATCAGATATTGCACAAGATACAGTGACATCATCAGATATAACACAAGATATAGTGACATCATCCAATACAACACATGATCATTTCTGTAATGTTACTAATGCAGAGGCACCTGTGTCTATTGCTAAAATAAATCATCTTCCACCACAATCCCCTTCAAAGTCAACATCTCAGAGTTCATCAAAGCACAGGTCATCATCATCTGCCCCTACAAAATTGAAAACTGGATTTTTACCATCACCCAGTGCTCTCAGGCGGTCACTGCGAAAGTCATTGCAAAGATCGCGATCACGAACAAATTCTGAAAGTAACACAAAATAAGTTAAACAGATGAGCGCAATACTTTAGATGTGTGATTTCATAATAACCAGAATGTGTGACTGCACACCAGATTCTCAAGTGTTTCCTGTATTAAGGCAATACGTTTTTTTTTTATTTGTTTTACTCATGTTACCAATGTGTCTGAGCAAACTTCAAAATATTACGTACTTCTTAGATTTGCTGTGTTTAGTGAACAAATTTTGATTTCTGCCCAAGTTAATCAAAATTGAAAGTTGTTTTATTGCTAAGACACAATCTTGCTGATGACGTTGGTTGCATTGACAAGTCAGTTACCCGGTACTTTGCTTTAATGATTTAAAACTCAAATCAATTTTTTTAGAATGGCACATGCAATGATTATTTCAAAATATGAAACGAAAACTTACAGATATACCGATAGTCTAAAATATCTTAAATAAAATTTGTATCTTTCTCTTATTTGTTACTGTGATGTTTTGAGTAATTTATATAATAATTATAGTCTTGTATTATATTTGATTGTTATGAGTAATTCTATAATATATCTGTTGTATTTTGTATAGCTGTAAATGCATGACTAGGGTGTCTGTTCTAATGTAATCTGAATAAAATCATGTATTTTTGACTTGTGAAATCCTTAGCTGATGGCATAGGAGACTTCTATCTCCAAAATGTCATGCCAAATATAAACTGTTGTACATATGTGACCGAGCTCAAAGGTCTTATGTATGAAAGAAAATATCTGGTAAGTATTATGGGATACTATGGAAGTCAATGTTATTTCTGGGCTCATACCACTAATTGAATTTCCATAGACGACAATGTTAACATATGACAAGATTGCTATATGAAAATGACGAAGAAAGTTGAAAATATGGCTCAAAAATGGGAAATTAACATGCCAGTAATCAACCATATGAAAAAAACTAACATGTTGACCAGCTCAAACTCTTGCAAATCTCAGGTAAACAAGACTGCACTCACTAGGATTGAACCAAGAGAAATCACTGGAAAATCACCAAGATTAGAACATCCATTAACACACAGGTACACAGCCGCTAAGTAGTAAACAAAAGACCACATGTTGGTCTCACCTCTAACCCAGGTGATTACGCCCTCAAACAGGGAGCACCTGAGAAAAATAATATTTAAAAAATGTCATTGGTTCTTGCTACGAGCAGCCATTGGTTAATTAGTGGCATGAGATCTTCTCATGGTGCCTTGATTAATAGTCTGATTCATGTTGGCTGAATGGCAGCCATTTTGCTTTGTAATAGTAAGGGAAAGTGAGGTATGGGCGGGGTCTTCTGTTAGAATTATTGTTGTCTTTAACAATTGTTCAATGTGTGAGTAATAACTTCAATATTTTGATCCAAACTTGGTTATTTCATTCATCAGTATAAAATCTTGTTCGAGTTCAATTTTTCTATGTCTCTATTATGCCTGATTTCAAAATTATGAATGATGGATGTGAATACATTACATGCTAAGGAGTAATTTCTATCGTAAATGATTAAATCGTTTTGGAGTTGAAATCTGTGCATACTATTTGCAGCGCTTCCATGGGTATCTCAAGAACCATTCAATATATTTCAATGAAAGTGTGTGCACATGTGCCCGGATCTGATTAGGTTTGGGTTGAAATTTTTTTCTGTATTAAATACCTAATTTGCATAAATTAGCCTATTTATAGATATTGCACAGATATTGGCTATCCTCTCCATTAAGTGTGTGTGATTTTTCTATGTCTTCAGTATTAACTTCTGTGATTTTTTTGCTGGGCTAATTTTGATCAAACTTGGCAGGCAGGTCACACCTTCGCTCTAGTTAGGTGGTAAAATCTGAGAAAATTGTTGCCATGGCAACAGCCAAAAACTGAAATATGAATAGCCAAATTTATCTCCCCCTAGAAATCTTGGACTAAAAGTCTTGAACATAGCTCATTCTACTAGGATTTGAGTGTGGGCACAAAGTTACTAGTTGTTTGTTTTTTTGATAACCTTTTTAGCTCCGCTGTCGACGAAGTCGAGCAGAGCTTATAGTATTACTGATTGTCCATCGTCGTCGCCATCGTCAACTTTACATTTTCAACTTCTTCTTAAAAACCAAAAACTGTGAAACTTTCTCGGAAGGTACCTTGGATGGTTCTCTCTCAGATTTGCTCATTTCGTGTGGATATGTTCAATTGTCTTATTTATAGCGAATATTTTTGGTCAAAAATGCTATTTTCGACTTCTTGTTAAGAACCACAAGTCCGATTGCTTTGATATTACATAATATGTAAGTACTACATGTGGACCTCTCTCAGATTTGTTCATTTCGTGATGATATCTTCAATTCTTTAATTTTGATGAATATTTTTGGTAAAAAGTGATATTTTTGACTTCTTGTTAAAAACCGAAAGTCCAATTGCGTGTATATAAATGGGGTGCAAATGAGATGCTGAATTGGTCGAGTTACGAACATCGATTTATGTAAACATCGAGATACAGAAACGACCAGGGGCGTGGTTTCACAAAAGTGGGCATGGTTTTAAAATATGGGCGTGGTCATTTCTGTAACTCGATGTTTTCGAAACTCGATGTCCGTAACTCGAACAACTGAGCATCTTTGTGCAAATAGCTTTTGGGATTCGGCGTCATTGTTTGACACCTCTGGCAAACTGCGTGAGCATAAGCTTCTGACTACTTCTTTTGGATATTTTTATTATTTGCGTATTCCGATGCCATTGGCCCACTATACATTATGAAAATAACTGTAACTTATTCCATTATATTCACAATATTCAACGCATGAAATATACAAAAATACAAAATATCTTCACTTCTGTGCATATATAATTAAGTCACTGTGGTTGTCGAGAATTCCATAGTAATTGGTGTGACTATGTTAAAGTGTGAATTACAAGACATAGTAATACTGTTATACTATATTTACAAAATTACTTTTTTAACTTTAATTCTTCAAAAGATGTTATTTATTTTGTGCTTACATCCCACCTGAATATTCCACAACATATGACATGTTACATGATGAAAACGGTATTAATCTTTTAGAAGAGTGTATGACAAATATTCTAAACAATTTTTCCAATGTAGATATTGTGTTAACTGGGGATCTAAATTCAAGAACTGCCAAACTAAATGATTTTATTATAAATGACAATTTCACTTATTTACTAGTGGGTATATACTCAAGTGATAATTTCACATGTTCATGTGAGTCAAAAGATACAGTAGTAAATAATTACAGGAGAACCCTAATTTTCACCATGTAAAACCACTGATATACACATTGGGAATGGCCGTAAAGAATCAGACGCCAAAGGGGAATTTACTTGTTTTGCTAATAATGGCAGTAGCCTTGTTGATTATATGATTTTTTCATCGGCTATGTTTAGTTCGGTTTCTCACTTTTCAGTTCTTTTAAATGATTACTCTGACCATTTGCCTATTGTTGCATGGGTAGATCTAAAGCACGGATTGCCCTATTGCCCTAAAACTGCGTGGAATTACTAAGTTTAAGTGGAAACAGGAACTTGGGGACTACATTTAAAGACAGAGTTTCAGACTTCGATAAATGGCGTTCGGTGCGGGATGCACTTGATAGAGGCGATATTAATAATACTATTGAATGCATTGGCAATACTTTAAAATATGCCGGTTCAGATATGAAAGTCCACATGTAGCTGTCTATTCTAGCTCTAGATGGCATTTAGATTGTCTAAATATCGCGATAATATAGCGTCCCGAAATATTTTAACAAGACTCCGTCCACATGTAGCTGCCTGTTCTAGCTCAAGATGATATTTAGATTGCCTAAATATCACGATATATAGCGGCAATAGAGTCCCGAAATATTTTTAACAAAACCCCGTCAACATGTAACTGCCTGGTGTAGCTCTAGATGATATTTAGATTGTCCAAATCTCGCGATATATAGCGGCAATAGTGTCCCGAAATATTTTTAACAAGACTGCCTGCTCTAGCTCTAAATGATATTTAGATTGTCTAAATATCGCGATATATAGCGGCAATAGAGTCCGAAATATTTTTAACAAGACCCCGTTCACATGTAACTGCCTATTCTAGCTCTAGATGATATTTAGATTGTCTAGATATAGAGTCCCGAAATATTTTTAACAAGACCCCGTCCACATGTAGCTGTCCGTTTTAGCTCTAGATGGCATTTAGATTGTCTAAATATCGCGATATATTGCGACAATAGCGTCCTGAATTATTTTTAACAAGATCCCGTCCACATGTAGCTGTCTATTCTAGCTCAAGATGATATTTAGATTGTCTAAATATCGCGATATATATCAGCAATAGCGTCCCGAAATTTTTTAACAAGACCCCGTCAATATGTAACTGCCTGGTGTAGCTCAAGATGATATTTAGATTGTCTAAATATCGCGATATATAGCGGCAATAGAGTCCCGAAATATTTTTAACAAGACCCCGTCCACATGTAGCTGCCTGTTCTAGCTCAAGATGACATTTAGATTGTCTAAATATCGCGATATATAACGGCAATAGAGTCCCGAAATATTTTTAACAAGACCCCGTCCACATGTAGCTGTCCGTTTTAGATCTAGATGGCATTTAGATTGTCTAAATATCGCGATATATTGCGACAATAGCGTCCTGAATTATTTTTAACAAGACCCCGTCCACATGTAGCTGTCTGTTCTAGCTCCAGATGATATTTAGATTGTCTAAATATCGCGATATGTTGCGGCAATAGCGTCCCGAAATATTTTTAACAAGACCCCGTCCACATGTAGCTGTCCGTTTTAGATCTAGATGGCATTTAGATTGTCTAAATATCACGATATATAGCGGCAATAGCGTCCCGAAATATTTTAACAAGATCCCGCCCATATGCAGCTGCCTGTTCTTGCTCAAGATGATATTTAGATTGTCTAAATATCGCGATATATAGCGGCAATAGAGTCCCGAAATATTTTATAATAAGACCCCGTCCACATGTAACTTCCTATTGTAGCTCTAGATGATATT